ATATAGTTATTAATTATTATTTCGATGGACGATTATATCCGAAAAAACCCCTTTAAATTTAAGTTAAAGCTGCCCTAATTTAGATTTTAATCATGGAGCCTGAAGTAAAGGGACAGATCAATGTGGTCCAATCCAAATATTACATGGATGACCAAATGTGTTGGGCCGATATTGACTCTAAATTAGAATGCTAGACTTGCAAGCCAAGAATTCCTAATAATACTTCATTTGATGGTAACGCATGCCAAATTAGACTATCATTTAAATGATTATATGCTTCTAAAATTGGAAAAGTTACCAATATATATAATTCGAACTAACTAATTTATTAACATGAATAAATATATAAAACATATACATATTAACGTATATATTGTGTATAAATATGTATAGTTTGGAGAGATGTACATCTTTAGATAGTACGAGGCTTGCGTATCGGTCAATATGGTTCGATTTTGAAGTTTATCGATTTGATTATTAGTTATTGATTTGTAAAGATGCTAAACTTGTCATTATAATATTGATTTATCGGTTATTGAACATTATCGATTTAACATTAAAATATCATCAAAAATTACTTAGAAACAAGGTGACTAACCAAATGAACCATGTATGTGAGTTCACAGATTACATCTTGCTCAAAAGCAAACAATTATACAGAATAACCAAAAGTTTGAGAAAATAAAAAATGAAAGTGGGAAACTTAATTTTAAGACTAGGACTTTATATATAAAATTGTATAAATATAATTATTTAATTTACTATCGACTATCGGTTAGCCCGTTAAAAAGAATCTCAAAATATTAAGAATCGATTACTCGATAACAAAAAAAAAAATTACCAAAATCACTAAATCAATAACTCCTTATTGATAAATGTATAATTTTTTTCGATTTAAATTATTAATTTTGATTTAATTTTGAACCGCCGCGCCCCGACCTAGCGACTCGTATACCCCAAATCAGGGAAATAACTAATGCAATTCTCACATATATTATAGTAGATTATTATTATTATTATTATATTGGTTAGCAATCTCCTCTAAGAACCCATAACAATTGATTGATGAACACTTGAGGCCATAACAAGGACAAGGTAACATTAAATGTTGTGGGGAGCACTTAGTGAATTAAGGGAGCTTCTATACATAAAATAATATCCTTCCAAAGACTTGTCCATAGTTTTTTGTTTACTTTTCTTACGTTTTATTTTTAATAGTCAAATAACATAGATTTTAATCAATATTTTAAGATGTATGTTCTCATCATATTAATTAAATAAACATGCAAAGTAAATATGAACCAAAAGAATATATGATAAGGACAATTATATATATATATATCATTGTGGAAGAAACAAATAAAACAAAATTTGCTCTAGGGATTGTACAATTCAATAATGGGACAAGTGCCGTTGAGTTAGCTAGTTGCATATATACACCACAAGTTGTAGGATTTTAGTGCACTCTAAGTCAAAAATAATTAATGTCCAATAGTATTAAAAACACATTTGATATCACAATTCATATGAATGAGGACACAAAATTATCCAAATTTTCTTCATTTTATCTTAAAATTAGAAAAAAAATTATCCAACTTGTGGATTGTACAACAAGACAATAATCCAAGTCTTATCAAATTTTGGATTTCTTGTACAGCTCAAAGTTTGTGAACTTTTTTGAACGTTGACATTAATATTGCATAACAAAGAAACATACATCAACTTCAGAGAATTTGTTTATGACTTCTCCTTTTATAAATACAAACATTTATTTATAAGAGAAACGCGAAGAGATACGATATATCAAAATGATGTCATACTACATTTCGGTATCTTATTTGTAAATTATAACTTACTAGTAAAATGGTATAAGAGCTAAAATTATTTTTAATAATTTTCGAATTTAATTTCATGCATACTTATTAAAAAAAATATATTACGGGTATAGAGATCTATTAAGCTCAACAAACTATGGAGTGGGCCTCATGAGCAATATTTGTGGCTAATTAATGCATTTTATTGAGAGAAAAGCCCAGTACAAGTTAAATCTATTTTATTTTATAATGTTGTTTGGTGCTCTACAGATCACTACGTAAATTGCCATAAATTATAGCTAGCTAAATAAATATATACAAACTATGATTGCATTATTACTATTTTTCTTTATAATCGTGGATGCAGACTTATACATAAATTAATGTCTAAGAAACCTTTTGGTGTATATTGCCTTGCAAATTCGTATAGCGCATTAATTGAATTGTTTTTTATTATAGACTCTGTTCTCTATATCTAAACCCTGAATATTTGAATACATAATTATTTATTTATTTATTTAGTTTGGACTTAGTATATTTATCACTAAAATAATAATTAATATGAATCTGAGTTGTCGATCAAACATGTATTTTTTGATAAATTGAACGAGTAAGATTAAGAAAAGCACTAAAACTTCTTTTTTACTTGTCATTTATTTCTAAAATAGATTTTCATTTTTAGTTGTTATTTTTAATATATCAAGAAAAGACAATAATTTTTTTTATGTTTTACCCTGAATATTTTGGAAAATAAGTAATTATTGAGGATGAAACATGGAAAAAATTAAGTATTTCTTAAATTATTTTGTAAGGTATTATTTAATAGGGAAATAATTTGATAAACTATAGATATCAATGATAATTTTTTTTAATTAAAATGTAATAAGTAAAAGTGAACTAGCAGTAAATAAGAGAGTGAACTATTCTTACAATATGATACATGATAGTTTTCTTATAAATGATGAAATTAAATAGAGGAAGGTTAAGCCGCTATACATAAATGCTCTTAATTCACCTATTATCGACAGCCACCTCTCACTTAATTAATATTTCCATGATTATTAAACATTAATCTTCCATATTAAACATTAAAAGAGATAAATGTGTCTTTAGCCATTTTATCATATTTATATCAACAGTTCCTAGTTTAAGATAAGATCTAATGTTGGGAAGAAAATTGAGAAAATAAAATAAAATGTTTTTAATTTTTTTAGAGTAGATTTTAAAATTTTATTGTCAAATATTTGTTTGCTCATGATATGTGATTAGATATTGAAATTCAAATCTTTTAAATTTTCAAAAACTGATTTAGTAATGTTTCACGTTTTTGGGACTTTACTAACAAAATTTACTTAATTAAATAAAATGTTCATATATAACTTTTAAGAACTTAAAATTTTAAATTTTTAACTTAAAAATGTAGGGCGAAAAAAGAATTTATTTCATAGAATCCACTAACTCAGTGATGGGAATAATAGATGCATGAGTGTCATTATAAACAGTGTTGTCACAGCCTGAGAAGTCCATGTAAGTCTTGAGAGAAAGTGATCTGTTGTTGCTTCTTTTGGAATATATTTGTCTCAAATTTTAAAATTAAAGTATCTTTATGTACAAATTTTAAGTATAGTCTTAAAATATTTTGTAAGGTAGATTTAATAATATTTTGATGATATATGTCACAACGTGAGATTCTATAGGCATGATACATGTATTGGATCATAAATAAATAAACACATGAGTTCTACATGACATAATACACATAGGACACTATATAGGACAAAAAATGACATGTAGGACAGGTGTTATAGAGTGTAAATATCTATTTGTGCACATCCAAAATTGAAGGGCATAAATGTAATTTGAAACTTAGTTAAATGACACATTTATGTATCATGCCAAACTTATATATGCTCTTAATTCATACAAATTACAATATTGAATTAAGTAACCACTCATATAACATTATTGCATGCATACTCTCAACAAGGTATAATACAAATTTCTCTTTAAAGACATGAATGAACTTAATATAGCTCTAATAGTGAGAAAAAATAACAATACAAATGTCTAAAGTGGCACTAAAAAGGCAAGGAAATGAATAATACAACAAGAAAAAATTGATAATACAATCAATTACTATCCCCCTTTGGAGATCTTTTCACATCGAGTGAAATCTCATAAATAAGATTTCAGAAGAATTGAGTGTACGTATTTCTTACCCTTAATTTTTAGAACTGTTTTCGAATGAAGCGAGTTCTTTTCCTACATCAACTAGCAATTTAGACTCCTCTAATTCTTTTCCATTTGGTTTTTTTACAAACTTAACCACAATCCCATTACTATTACTCTTGTTCATTAACCTTGTACTACTTTGAATCATCCCCATTGATCTTGACTTACTCAACCTTACTGTAGGCATCTTCACAGCCAATCCTCCTTTCCTCCTAACCGTCTGATTATAATAGTTATTAGCCAAATCAAACGGTTCAGATGCAATCTCACCAAGTGAGCCAATAGATTTCGATCTAATTACTGGTTTTATTTTTTGACCAATCACAGCACTTTCTAGTTCTGTGGTCGCCACATTGGATACTTTCCTATTTCTTCTACTTCCCATTCTAGAGATCTTAACTATTTCCATACTTTCATCCAACGGCTCATATTTCACCACGCGCGTTGATTCCCTCACACGCCCCACTCGCCGCCCTATGTTATTCCATATTGGTGAGCTCATTCGTTTATACACCTGTTTTAACCACTCCACCACCTCCGCCATCGCCGGCCGTTTCGCCGCCGTCTTACGGACGCAACGCGCTGCGACTATAGCTAGCTGTCGTAAAGCTCCGTCGTCCTCCGGTGAGGTGAGTCTAGGGTCATAAATCTCTGAATACTCGCCGGATTTAATCAACGGCACAGCCCAATCCACCACTGACGGCGGACTGTAATTCACGTCGATTGCATTCCGGCCACTAATGATCTCTAATAACAAGATCCCATAGCTGAAAACGTCAGATTTAGTACTGAGATCACTGGGTGCTAGATAAGCAGGATCCAAATACCCCAACGTACCCGCCGGCGGCGTACTTTTAACGACGACGTCTTCAACATTTCCTCTCAAAGACAACCCAAAATCCCCAAGACGAGCACTGAAATTCCCATCAATTAGAATATTCGAAGACTTAATATCTCGATGAATCACGGGCGGATTTGAAGAATGTAAAAAATGAACACCCCTAGCAATTTGTGACGCAAATCGAACACGGCGAATCCAATTAGGAGGTTTCGAATGAGAATGAAGCAATTCATACAAAGACCCATTAGGCATAAACTCGACAACAATCAATTTGTTCTGATTTTCATCCACCGCATAACCCAACAAGTTCACCAACCGAGGATGGTGCACTCTAGAAAGAATCTCAATCTCATTTTCCGCCGGAGAATTACTAGAACTGTTACGGGGTTCAGTTAATTTACCCCTTTTAACAGCTACAACACTGAGCTTAACTTGATGAAGATGAGCTCTGTATACATATCCATGGCTTCCTTTACCAAGAAGATTATCTTGAGAAAATGCATTAGTAGCAGAGTGAAGATCAGAGTAAGAATACTCTCTGATTTTCAATGATTTATTAGTATGAGTTTTAGTTTTTTTGAAGTTGCAAGAATCGCAAGTAGCAATAGCGGATTCAGCATTGCATGATAGATAACCCATAATAAATTAATGTTAGAGAAAGAAGAGAAAATGGGGTTTTGAGAAAAAAGTGAAGAGGCAGAGGCCATAACTGAGGAAGAAGAAGAAGAAAGAAGAGTGGGTGAAGGTTTGAGGTGGTCGTAAAGACATAAAGCGGTGGTAAAAGGACGGATCTTTCTCTCTCTCTTTTTGTTAGTATTATTTTAACAGCTTTTGTTAATACCGATTTGAATGGTAATTTGTGCAATGTGTAAAACCCCCAAAGTTAAAAAAAAAAAAAAAAAAAAGTTGGAGAAAATGATTAAATGAGTCCTTAATGGAGTATAGACTTTGTCCTATTTACTTCCATATGTTTAAAGTAATTAGTTTAGTTTTAAGCCATATAAATAAGTAAAAACTAGTGTCTATTTTTATATCAATAAAAATTATTGTGCAATAGTAAGCGTTTTTTTATTTTTAATTAGAGATTTTAAAATTTTTTTTTTAAATTATTGTTGTAAATTCAAATTTAATTAACTTACTCTAGATACAGAAATCTGATAAAATAATTTTTTTATTGTTATTCTTGCTTTGACAGATAAATGAAGGCTCTTTGAATGTAGGAGGATATCATATATACTAGAGCATCAAATAGCAAAGTTTTGGAGTATTATTGATAATTTAAATATGTATTTTCACAATTTGAAAGTTCTTTTTAAAATAATTTTACTTACGCCCTTTATTTCAAGAATGCCTTTGATATATTTTGCTAGAGGTGTCTTAATGATTATTTAAAATTGTAAAATTTGATCACTATTTTATATAATTCATGTTTAAAATATAAGTGAAAAAAATATTAAAATCCTCTTGATTTGCTAAAATAAATAAGTAAAAGATAATGAAATATTTTTAAAATAAAAACTCAAATAAAATAAAACGAAAAGACTAATTCATTGTGACAATAAAAATTAAAGAAAATCTTTACTTATATTGACTTAGAATTTTTATCACTTTTTTAAGTATATTGAAAGAACATTTTGATCATGTTTATATGTTAAGGGACGTTTGGTACAAAGATGCATAACACAGAGATTATTAACGCATGTATTAGTAATGCAGGGATTGATTTTTAAGTGTTTGGTTCATTGCTTCCCACCTAATTTTATGTTTGGTTTAAGACTCTAGAAAAATTTCTTTCCTATTATACCCTTGGGTTTATTGTGAGATTTTTCATTTCATTTAACTAGTTAATCACTTAAATACTAAAATATAAAAGAAAATTATTATTAATTTTGAGGTGTGATATGTCATCATCCTTAATAGCACAATATATTTCTAACTTTTTATTGGTCAAATATATCTTAAATTTAACATAGTTTTAAGACTACTTGAATTGTTCAAATTGACAAAACTAATTTTTTTTTTAAAAAAAAAGTTCATGTGGTCAATCAACAACGTTAAAAAAATATTTTAAAAAATCAATATAGCAAATCAAACACGAAGAGGAAAAAAATTAGTTTGTGAAATCATCACATTATATAGAACGAATTTGGAGAATTTAAATACATATTTATAAATATCCTAATATAAAAAAAGAACATTAAATTACATAAGAATTTTAGGAAAAAGTATTTGAGAATAGTTTAATAATTTAGGGGTCTTATCCAAGAATTGTTAAACCTTTGATTAGTTATTCCTCTCTTTTCTAGGAATTAGATAAGACCTTATATGAAGTTTAACTAATCCATAGATTATGTTAAATAGAATAATCAAGCAATATTTTTCTTAAACTAAAATTTAATCCATAAATTATTTTAATTAATACCTTCTACCAATCTCAAACTTTTAAGCACGGTTTTGATAATATTTTCAAAAAAGAAAATGTAATTGATGCTGAACACGTCTTCCAATTATATTCTTTGTAGCAATTTGTCAATATTGGCTACAAATTTCATTCACTTAATCCTTTGACTTTGTTAATGTCAAAAAAATATCTTTTGAAAATATTTCTTTTACTTTCCGTCCTTTGAAAAACACTCTCAATATTTCATACTTTACAGCTTAATTTTTTATTCATTTGTATATTTTGCTCACTCAATCAAGCTGGACGGAATTACTTTTCTAATGAATATCACCACGTTTATTTATTATTATAGAGTATATTTTTATTATTTTTATGAGTGAGAAACCCAAACAAATAAAGAAATGGAAGACTTATACAATGTCAAATTTTAAGGGTTAAAAGTTTAAATAAGAAAAATCAGAGGATGAGTAGTTTATATTCTCTTCTTAGTTAAGAGCAAAATAGTAGCTCTTGAAATTTGCAACGATGCATGTGTTACTTTTTCCTTTTAGTAACGTTGACGTTATTATTTTTATAAAAGAAAAGACTTGTTTTGCTTCAATAGATTAAAGTAAAGTTACTTGTCGATTGTGGGATGGAAGTACTATGGAGTAATAACAATAACTAATGGGGTAACATAAATAAATTAATAAAATGAAGGATTCAAGTTATAAGTTTACGTTTAGAATATTGTGACGACTCATTTGATTTACTGTGTTGAAAATTTGTTAATTATAATGTATAACTAGTTATTAATTTTCGTAAATGCATTTATAGCGTATGGGTTAAAGTTTTTAATGTGATATCAATAAGGAGAAACATTTTGATGTGGGAGGGTCGAAAATAAAGACGAGTAAGTAAAGTCTATTGAATATAAAAATAAATACTCCCCCCTCTCAATTAAATAATAGATTTTTTCTTTTTAATTACTCCTTAGAAATGATGTATTTTCTTATTTATCAAAGCGACAAAATGATCATATTAACATTTTACTCATGTTAGGTTCTACTTATTTAACAAAAAGTCTAAGTGTACTTTTTTGAACACTGTAAACTTTTTCTATATTATCAAATTACAATATCTCACATGAACTAAGATAAGTGGAATAAAATAATCACTGTAAACCGACTAAATTGAAATGAAATCCTCGAAAAATATGAAAGAACCTTTTTCACAACCAAAAAGCAAACAAGTAAAAATTAACAATAATTTTACTGAGTAGACGTAAACAGTAAAAAGTTTTCACTGTATTCTCCAGCGCCAATTATATTCAAATATATGGGCAACAAAATTCTAGTTACCCTATGAATTTCTCTGTAAAGTTAACTTATTCAAATAAGAAGCACGCATATAAAAGCACTTGTAATAGTCAAAAGTTAGTATCGATATGCGAAGCAGTGGCGTGCAATATAATAAAAAGAAGATTCCAATGGATGATACGTACTTTTATTTTTAATCGAAGGTCTATATTTGAGTTCAAAATATAATAATATCACTTACTTTTTAATAATATTTTAATTTAGTAAAATATCAAAACGCGCCCTACCAAAAATTGAGAAGAAGTGGCTTGCAAATGGCTTAGGGAAAAGGAGAGGAGGGGGAATATTTCGGGTACGTGATCTAATTACAGTAGGGTCAAAATTTTACCATCATTTAATCAACTTTAATTATTATTTACTATTCTTTTGCTTTTCAGTCTCCCCTTTTCAGTATAATACTCTTATTAGTGGGGTTTTAAAAAAATTATTAAAGTTTCATAGAGTATGCTCATACTATGTACAACCTATAGTTTTTTTTCAATTTGGAATTTCTGTAATATTCAAAAGTTTTAAGAGTGTATTAGTAGACTTTAAAGTGTTACAATTTTTAAATTAATAAGGTTAATGAATATTGAATATAGTATGATTACAAAAACTTCAAATAGTATTCTTTTTATCATGAAAATTGCTATGAATCTTGGAAGAACAAAAGGATAAAAAAGGTGGGGTTAATGATTTGACTATAGATAAAGGTCTATTCACAATCAAATATCAATTCCAATAATAGTTACATATTTCGTCTGTTTCCTTTTCTTTTTTTTTTTATCAACGTTTATTTCAAATATATAACAAAGATAAAAGGACACATAATTAGGTTATAGATTTAAAATAATCCATTTTTACGTGGATAGGTAGCTTTTCATTTTAGCAACCTAACTTATAGTTTGGCCCTTCAAAATCATAAATGTACAGTAATTTGCTATAATTAATTTGTGCATCGACTAATTATGCACAAGTGCCAGTTAAGCTAGTGCTCAAGCAAGTACAAAAAAATAAAATAAAGTACAATAATTCCTTGTGACATTTGTCATTTTCATCATGTTGATTCATGAGTTTGTGGAATATATAATAAAGTAAATTCATGAAATAATAAACCGTTAACAAGACTTTGTGAATAAAATAATAAAACATCCTCCTAATTAACATTTAAGATAACGACGACAATTTTAGGGCTGAGAATATGATTACTATGTAAATGTTCTATTTAAAGATTAGTGATTACTTGACTCATTTTATTAGCTTGCGTTTAGCAACGATAATAATTAGGTGCGAAAAGAACTAGTTAAACATATAATTCAATGCGTTAATTAATTAATTAATTAATTCACCTTTAAAATTTATTTATGGATTTCAATTCTTTAGTCAATCTCAGCATCATTTTTGAAAATGAGAAGAAGATATTTTTCTTCAACTAAAAAAAGGGTAAAAAACAGTTTTTGTTTCTTACTAAAAATGAGTAGTACTATTTAATGTTAAAAAACGTGGAAAGATGGCAAAGACAGACGTTTTAGAGGGAACGTTTAGATGTACGATACTTTCCCCGTTCGATATTATTTGTCATAATTTTTATTTTTAGAGTTAGATTATAAAAAATTTGACTAATATTTTAAAATAGTTTTTTATCATATTAATATGCAAAAAATTGTAATTTACAGTACTTTTCGTATAGTTTTAGAAAATCTAATTTTATTATTTAAAATATCGAATTAATGTAATATAATTTACCTTTAAAAATTAGTCAAATTGACTTTCGATAAACGCATCATGACAAACAATTTCCAGACGAAGGGAGTATAAAATAATACTCCCTTCGTCTCATTTTATGTGGCACCATTTGATCCGGTACGAAGTTTAAGAAATAATAAAGACTTTGAGTTGTTTATTAAATTGTCCTTCAAAAGTAGACTCACTTTTTCTCTTCTCATAAAATATATTAAAATACTATTTAAAATTAAGTGGGACCAACAAAAGCAAACGAAGAATTTTACCTTTAAATACTTACCATATAAGGAAATGTGACATTTCATTTTGAGATTGACCAAAAAGAAAAATGGTGCCACATAAAATAAAACGGAGAGAGTATATATTTCTTATATGATTAATCAATAAATGATCTTTTCGGCTCAGTTAGTTCGAAGGATAATTATCTGCATGAA